AAGACTAGCACAGATGTTAGCTCAGGGACAATCTTCCTCAAGCAAAAAGAGGAAGATTGGCAACAGATGTTAGCTCAGGGCTAATCTTCCTCACCAAAAAAAAAGAACCTATTTTTTGCCTTTTAGTATGCCTTGTAATTTTTTGTTGAAAGGTAGACATGATGGCCTGGGTGAAAGGGAGTGCAGTAAATAGGCCTGTAGTAATGTAGTGGTGAGCTGTGGGGAGAGAGGAAGCATTCTACAGTCCTATGATTAGGTCTCTGTCTTTGGTGAGCCTGTGCCCCTGGACTCTGAACTTCACCACTGTTTCTCAGTTTTCTTTTATTCTGTTTTCCCCCTTAAGTGGGACAGGATGGCTAGAGGGGGCTGGAGTTGGGATATTTTCCTTCCCCCATGTGGAAAGCTAGAGCTGCCTAGAGTTGGGTATTTCCCTACCCCAGGTTGATTAGGCTCTGATAAGACTCCAGCAGGTTAGACTCTGGCAAAATAGTTTCTCCTGATGGCAGGCCTTGTTAAGAACAGAATGATCTGGCATATTTCAAGATGGTTCCTTTCCCCCTCCCCCTGCCAAAAGCACACGGGGATTTTTCTCCAACACTGAGGACCTGATAGAGCTCCTGGAGGTAAAACGCACAAAAGTGTGGAAGCCTGCCAAAGACTGGGTTCCCCTGGAATTTTTAATTCTCAGAGGTGTCCACACTGCAATTCATCGATTATGTTTAGGTTTTCCTACCCTGGCATTGGTTCTCAGGGAGGTCTCTGCTCCAGTAAATTGTAATCTGCCTGTCTGTCTCTACAATTTTGGGGGCAGTGGTTTGCCCTGTGACCTCACTTCTTTGATGGCTCTAAGAAGAGTTGTTCATTTTTCAGTTTGTTCAGCTTTTTACTTGTTGTTAGGACAGAATGGCAACTTCCTAGCTCTTTATGTGCTGGACCAGAAACCAGAAATCTGTCTTTTTTTTTTTTTAAATCAAATTTGGAAAATATTTGGTTGATATTTCTTGAAAAAATTTTTTTCTGTTCCTATGCTCTCTTCTTTCCTTCTGGAACTCCAATTACACTTAATACTATATATTATCTCCCATGAGTCATTGAGGCTCTGTTAATTTTTTTTTTTGCTGAGGAAGATTCGCCCTGAGCTAACATCTGTGCCAGTCTTCCTCTATTTTGTATGTGGGTTGCTGCCACAGCATGGCTGCTGACAAGTGGTGTAGGGCCGTGCCCAGGAACTGAACCTGGGCTGCCAAAGCAGAGCACGCCAAACCTAACCATTAGGCCATGGGGCCATCCCTGAGGCTCTGTTAATTTTTTAAAAAATCTTTCTTCTCTGTGCTCCAGTTTGAATTATTGCATTGACCTGTCTTCAAGTTATTTGATTCTTTCTTCTGTTATGGTCAATCTTCAGTTAATTCCAGCTAATGAATTTTCTTTTAAATAATGAAATCTATTTATTATTTGAAAAAAAACAACATGAAAAATTGAGTGTCTCATTGCTCTCCACCCTTCTCCTCCAGTGTTTTTTCATATACTCCTCTTTTTTCCCCAAATAAAGAAAATTGTTTATTATCAAAGCAACTGAAAGCTATTTTCACATTTGTTTTTAGTTATAAAATGTAAAGCATATAACAACATATATGAGGGCCGGCCCCATGGCTTAGCGGTTAAGTGCGCGCGCTCCGCTACTGGCGGCCCGAGTTCAGATCCCGGGCGCGCACCGATGCACCGCTTCTCCAGCCATGCTGAGGCCGCGTCCCACATACAGCAACTAGAAGGATGTGCAGCTATGACATACAACTATCTACTGGGGCTTTGGGGGAAAAAAATAAATAAATAAACAACATATATGAGTATTCTTTTTTTTTTTACTTTTTTAATTTTATTGAGGTCATATTAGCTTTTATCATTGTGTAAATTTCAGGTGTACATTATTATACATAGTATATATATAGTATTATATATAGTATAGTATATTATATATAGTATAGCAATCTGTATAGATTGCATCGTGTTCATCACCAATAGTCTCGTTTTTATCCGTCACCATACACATGTTCCCCTTTACCCCTTTTGCCCTCCACCCACCCCACTTCTCCTCTGGTAACCACCAATCTGTTCTCCATATCTATGTGTTTGTTTGTTTATCTTCCACATATGAAATCATACCATATTTGTCTTTCTCTGTCTGACTTATTTCACTTAGCATAATACCCTCAAGGTCCATCCATGTTGTTGCATAATGGCACGATTTTGTCTTTCCATGGCTGAGTAGTATTCCATTGTATATATATACACCACATCTTCTTTATCCATTCGTCCATCGATGGGCACTTGGGTTGCTTCCACATCTTGGCTATTGTGAATAATGCTGCGATGAACATACAGGTGCATGAATCTTTTTGAATTGTTGATTTCATATTCTTTGGATAAATACTCAGTAGTGAAATAGCTGGATCATATGGTATTTCTATTTTTAGTTTTTTGAGACATCTCCATACCGTTTTCCATCGTGGCTGCACCAGTTTGCACTCCCACCAGCAGTGTATGAGGGTTCCCTTTTCTCCACATCCTCTCCAACACTGGTTATTTCTTGTCTTGTTAATTGTAGTCATTCTGACCAGTGTCAGGTGATATCTCATTGTAGTTTTGATTTGCATTTCCTTAATAATTAGTGATGTTGAACATCTTTTCATGTGCCTGTTGGCCATCTGTATATCTTTTTTGGAAAATATCTGTTCATATCCTCTGCCCATTTTTTGATTGGATTGTTCATTTTTTTTGAGTTGAGTTATGAGTTCTTTATATATTTTGGAAATTAATTGCTTGTTGGATATATGATTTGCAAATATTTTTCTCCCAGTTGGTAGGTTGTCTTTTTGTTTTGTTGATGGTTTCCTTTGCTTTGAAGAAGCTTTTTAATCTGATGTAGTCCCATTTGTTTATTTTTTCTTTTGTTTTTCTTGCCTGAGTAGACATGGTATTCAAAAAGATACTGCTAAGATCAATGTCACAGAATGTACTGTCTATATTTTCTTCTAAGAGTTTTATGGTTTCAGGTCTTACATTCAAATCTTTAATCCATTTTGAGTTAATTTTTGTGTATAGTGTAAGATAATGGTCTACTTTCATTTTTTTGCATGTGGCTGTCCAGTTTTCCAACCCCACTTATTGAAGAGACTTTCCTTTCTCCATTGTATGTTGTTAGCTCCTTTGTCAAAGATTAGCTGTCCATAGATGTGTGGTTTTATTTCTGGGCTCTCAGTTCTGTTCCATTGATCTGTGTGTCTGTTTTGTGCTAGTACCATGCTGTTTTGATTACTATAGTTTTGTAGTATAATTTGAATTCAGGGAGTATGATACCTCCAACTTTGTTCTTTTTTCTCAGGATTATTTTGGCTATTTGGGGTCTTTTGTTGTTCCATATAAATTTTGTTCTCTTCTGTTCTATTTCTATGAAGAATGTCATGGGATTCTGATTGGGATTGCACTGAATCTGTAGATTGCTTTAGGTAGTATGGACATTTTGACTATGTTTATTTTTCCAATCCATGACCATGGAATATCTTTCCATTTCTTTATGTTTTTTTTTTTTATTTCTTTCAATATTGTTTTATAGTTTTCAGAGAATAGGTCTTTCACCTCCTTGGTTAAATTTATTCCTAGGTATTTTATTCTTTTTGTTGCAATTGTAAATGGGATTGTATTCTTGACTTCTCTTGCTGCTGATTTGTTATTAGTGTATAGAAATGCAACCGATTTTTGTATGTTGATTTTATATCCTCCAGCTTTTTACTATATTTGTTGATTATTTCTAATAGTTTTTTGGTGGATTCTTTAGGGTTTTCTATGTATAGAATCATGTCATCTGCAAACAGTGAGAATTTCACTTCTTCCTTTCCAGTTTGGATCCTTTTTATTTCTTTTTCTTGCCCAATTGCTCTGGCTAAAACTTCCAGTACTATGTTGAATAAGAGTGGGCATCCTTGTCTTGTTCCTGTTCTCAGAGGAATGGCTTTCAGTTTTTCACTGTTGAGTGTGATGTGGGTTCGTCATATATGGCCTTTATTATGCTGAGGTGCTTTCCTTCTATACCCATTTTGTTTAGAGTTGTCATCAAAATTGGGTGTTGGACAGCTAATGAATTTTTTATTTCAAGTATTATCATTTTCATTTCCAGGATTTCCATTTGATTCTTTTTTACGGTTTTCACATCTCTCCTGAAATTCCCCATCTCATTATCCATTATATCAATTCCACTATATTCTTTAACATATTTATCATAGATATTTTGAACTCCAGGTCTGCTAATTCCAACATCTATGTTGGCTATGGATCTGTTTCTAGTGACTGATTTTTCTCTTGAGTATTGGTCAAATTTTCCTGTTTCTTCACATGTCTAATAATTTTTTATTGCATACTGGACAACATAGATAATATAGTAAAGAGAATCTGGATTCTGTTATTTTTGGTGTTGATTTTTGGTCTAGGGTGTGGATCAGACTCAGCTTTGTGACTTTAGGATGGGCAGTTCACAGACCATTCAAGAATTAGAGGGGTGTACTTATGCAGACTTCACTCCCCTACTGTGGTTCCCTGCTTTCCATTATTTCCCCTCCATTTCCTCCTTTGGCAGTCTCAACTCCAAAGCCTCTGACTCCTCAGGCCAATAAGACTACAGCTTTCTGCTTGCGCTGTTTGCCAGGCTGAGGGGGCTGGAGTGTGCCATCAGAGGAAAAGCCATAAATATGTGGATTTTACCCAATGCAGTTCCATTCTTTAAAATGTCCTCCAGTTTCTGGCTGCTTTTTATCTCTTTCTATTGCCTTCAAACAGTTGTATTTTGCATTTTGTCTAGTGTTAGTCCAATACAAGCTACTCTGTCTCTCTCAATCTCTCAGCCTCTCTCAATATATGTGTGTGTGTCTCTCTTTTTCTTTCCCTCCTTCCCTCCCTCCCTCTCTCCTTCCCTCTCTCATTGCTTCTACCTCTATCTCTCCTTGCAGGGAGAACCTGGCCCCAAAGGAGACCCTGGTGAGAAGAGCCACTGGGTAAGCTCCAGCCCAGCACTGACCTCCCATTGCCCCCTCCTACCCTGGGCACTCAGGAGATTATTTTGGAGTGGGAGCACCCCAACCAAATCCCCATTGCCACCTGGTCTCCCAGGGAGGAGCCTTGACAGATCTCAGCCCTAGCCCCCTCCCCTATCCTGTCCCTCCCCACTGGGCAGGGCCAGCCTTGTCAGCAGACCCCTCGCTCTCTGTCTCTGTCTTCGTCCCTGTCTCCGCCTTCCCTCTGTGGCCTTTTCGGGCCAGGGTGACCCTGCCTGTTCCTCCTGGGTGGTTTGGGCTGACCCAGTCCAGACTGCATCCCCTGCTTCCATAGCCCCCTCCCAGCAAGGGCTTTGGCTTCTGCTCCCCTGTCTGCAGAAGAAAGGGAAGCATGAGCACAATATCCACACAGAAGAATGGGACAGCATGCCTCAGGAAAGCCAGGAAGCAGAGGAAGGAAGGCATAGAAACACTGAGGTAGACAAGAGGCCCTTGGTAAAAGGAACAAGGGTCCTAGACACCACCATACACATAGGAAATCCATGAAGTATGGGAAGGGAGGCCTAGAAACCATCATGTACACGTTGTACATGGTAAATGAGGTCAGGGGACCTAGATAGACTCCACTATACCCAAAAGACCTGTCATTAACATGACATTCTAGACATCATCACATACATGGGAGACCCAGGAGGAATGGGAAGAAAGGCCTAGAAACTGTGATACACACAAGAGCACCATGGAAAATGAGATGAGGGGATCTAGATACCACTATACACAAGGGAAGCCCGTGAAGAATGGGAGGGGAGGCCTAGAAACTGACACATATACAGGAGACACAGAGTGAATGGGAAACGGGACCTGGAAACCACATGTGGAGTTCTAGAAACCTTACAGTCATTGGAGATAGTTGCAGCAAATGAATTTCGGGGCCTAGAAATCCGCCGACCCGAGAGACACATAGGAGGAAGACCAAAAGCCCCACAATGCAGGGACCTGGAAACCATCACTGACATAGGCGACATTTGGAAAGTGGATGGGGTGGGGGGCAGACACTCCTACAGGAGAGACAACTGGGAAGCTCTTTTGGAGGCTAGTATCGTGCCCCATACCCCGCCCGGCTCTCTGGTGCAGTCTGGCTGGGACGCCCTACTTCCTAGCAGGCACTAGTTAGTGAAGACATGGGAAGCACCCAGCGCCTGCCCTGCCCTCTCTGCTCCTGATTGTGGGGTCAGTGATGGATACAGCCGTGGGAGCCCCCCACCCTGCACGAGCCCTCCCCTATGTCTTTCCGTGACTTCTGGGGCCCTGCTACCTCTCTGGCAAGCCTCTCCCAGCCTCCACTCCCCTCCACTACCCCCAGTGGCTCCAGAGTTTCTTAAACATGCTGCCAGAATGGGCATGAGCTGGGCTCATGAGCATGAGCAGGTCAGGGAGACCTGTGTAAGCCCAGCCCTCTGCTACCCCTAGGCCTCTTCACTGGCCTCTTCCAGAGGCCCTTAGTCTGGGAACATAGTTTTCACCGAGCCCAGGAGAGGTGGGAGAGGAGAGGTGAAGTCTGAAGTAGGCTGGGCAACCCCATCCCTGCATGGGGATCCCGGCAGGAGAATAGATGCCTGAACTATCCCAGACCAGGCCTCAAATTCAGGACCACATGTGAGAGGGGCCCCCCAAGAGGTAGCAGGGCCCCTGCCCAGGCAGGCGGCAAGCAGGGGCAGAAGTGCAGGTGGATGAGGGGGAGCAGAGACAAAGTTGCGCAGACTCTGCCCATTGGTCTCTCAGCTCCCCCTCATCCACCTGCACTTCTGCCCCTGCTTGCCGCCTGCCTGGGAGGGGACCTGCTGGGCTGGGGGTGCATGAGGCTTTGGGGGCTGGGGGATCAGCTCTGTTGGGGGCAGATGAGGATGAGGTCCAGCGTGGGGAAGGGCCCTGAGGGCTCCTATACATACTCCACCTACCAACCCCCACGTGATGAAGCTGTAGGTGCCACTGGCCCTGCCGGGGCTCAGCAGTGACACCCAGTGGTCATAGGGATGCACTACAGGCACTGCCTGCATGTGTTTGAGCTGAGCCAGCCCATTCAGAAAGAGCTCATACCCCTTACACAGACAGGAAAAACTGAGGCTCAATTCCACAGAGCGAGTTGTTGGCAGAGCTGGAACTGAAGCCCAGGCTTTTCAGCTTCCAGGATCAGGGGAACCAGCTAACATTCCCCAAGCATCTCCTCCATGGTGCCAGGCCCCTGGCTGGGCACTGTGGACATAGATGTGATTTGGGCACAGTCCCCACCCTCAGAGTGGTCACAGTGGGGTGGGGGGAAACAGACCAGTAACCAGCAGCGACAGGCCAGAGGGAGCTCAGCTGTGATAAGGGAGGATTTAGCATCCTCCTGGAGGAAGAGACCCAGGCTGAGGCCCAAAAGGTGCATTAACCAGGCAAAGGGTGTTCAGGCAGAGGAGAGGGAACATCATATGCAAAGGCCCTGAAGAGTGAGCCTGGGGTGTTCGAGGAGCTGTAAGTACTTGGAGTGGCAGAATGTGACAGGCAAGGGGTGAGACAGAGGTCAAAGAGGCTTTCAGGACTTAGGAGGCCATATTGAGGAGTTTGAACTTTGGTCAGATTTTTGTTTGTGAAAAATTCCTCTGATTTCTATGTGGAGAATGGATGGGAGAAGGTGGCAACATGGGAGATGCAGAAAGAGAGAGATTAGGTGGGAGGCTGTGGTGGTCATCCTGGCAAGAGACTGTGGGGGCCAGAACCGGGAAGGGGGACAGCGAGGATGGAGAGCTGTCAGCAGAGCTGAGACACTTGAGTGCTAGTTTGGCTGTGAGTGGGTGCGAGAAGTTCAGGGAGACTTTTACAATAGTATAAGAGAGCTGGGAGAAGGAGGCGCACTGACGTGTGTCCATGGAAAATGGGAGATGTCTCTGTTATAGCTGAATGGAGGTGTCCAGCAGGCCCTAGATCAGGCCAGGCCAGGAGGGGACTGGGGCGTCATCAGCACAAACACAGACCACCCATCTAGAAAGAGATCCAAATAGCAGAACTTCTTTTTTTTTACATTTTTTTCTCCAGATTTTTATTTTGAAAATTTTTAAACATGTAGAAAAGTTGGTATAATGAACATCCTTCTCCCCTTCCTCTAGACTGACCAATTATTAGTTTTGCCACATTTACTCTATCTTTCTCTCTCTAAATATTTACAGACCTTTTTTTCCCTAATCCATTTGAAAGTAAGTTGCAAACCTCATCTGCATCTCCCCTAATACATCAGCGTATATCTTGAAAAAATATGGACATTCTCCCAAAGAGCCACAATACCACTATCACACCTAAGAAAGCTGATGTTGATTTAGTGAAATGATTCCATTTAATATATAACATATATAAATTTTACCAGTTGTCTCCAAAATGCCTTTTATAGTGGGTTTTTGTTTTTGTTTTTGTTTTTTTTCTGCTGAGGAAGATGCAACACGAGCTACATCTGTTGCAAATCTTCCTCTATTTTGTATGTGGGTTGCCGCCACAGCATGGCTGAGGAGTGGTGTAGGTTTGCGCCCAGGAACTGAACCTGGGCTACCAAGGTGGAGTGCGTCAAACTTAACCACTAGGCCACTGGGCTGGCCCCTGGTTTTTTGTTTTTTTTTTTTTAATCCAAGATCTAATCAAGATTCATGCATTGCATTTGGTTGTCACATCTCTAGTCTCTTTTAATCTAGAACAGGCCCCCTGCCCTTTTCTTCTCTTGACTTTGTCTTCTTGTGAATGTCCCACTGTCTAGATTTGTCTGATTGTTGCCACATGATGAGATGCAGATGAAATACTCTAGGCAGGAGCACTGGCGGGGGATGTGGAGCCCTCTTACCGTGTCTCATCAGGAGCCTCATGATGTCAGCTTCTCCCACAGTCCATGCCGGGAGTGGCTTAATGTAATTTTTGAAGGTCATCCATTTTTAGATCCTGCTCCTGTAATATTTGAAGAGGGATTCCTTTGGTGCGCAGCCCGTGGTGACCTTGTGACCCCTAGCCTTCAGTGGCCTGTTGGTGGCCTGAGGGTAGCCCAATCCATGTGAAGTGGACAGGACAGCTAGATGGTAACAGACTGTCCGAGCAAGGCCACAGCAGGCTTACAGACATGTTGGGGGCCTCTCGGTTGTTAGATGTTTTTTTTGGAACAGCCACCTTAAAGGGTTGGATTATAATTGTACCAAGATGCATATTATACATCATCCCTTCATTTAATCTGTACTAAGTAAGGGACACTGAAAGGGACTCTCAGATACATCAGGGCTGGAATAGGTCTGTTTGCTGTCCTGGTGCTCTGTTGGAATTAAGATATCTACATTCCGGAAATAGCTTTAGTCTGGACAGGAAAGAGGAAGGAATAAGGGAGTGTGGAGTTTTTGCAAGACTGTGGGCCCAATGCTGGGGAAGGAAAGGACAGACAGACTGGGAGGAAGTGAAGGTGAGGGCCGGCCAGTGGTCTCTGGCAAGGAGCCCTGGGCAGCAGCTGGCACACTTGGGAGTGGTGAGCCCCACAGCAGGGAGGCCTGGGGGGTGCTTTGTGGGTCCGCTGCCACATCCCTGGGCCTGAGCGCTAGAGATGCAGTTGAGAAGAGAGGGCGTGGCTGAGGGCCGCACTCCAGGGCGTGCAGAATATGGACCCGGAATAGTCAAAGCCCAGGGAGGCATGAGCCCAAAGTGAGAAGGGCTGGGGAGGGGGCACCCGGGCGTGAGTCTCGGCTCTTCCTTCATTTTAAGCCCAGCTTCCCAACAAGGATGCCACTCAAACATTTTCTAATTTTACTCGTATGTATTCCTTTTGGCGTGAATGGAAATGATATTGGTAAGTAGCCTGATCCCACTGAAGGAGTTAATTAGGGTGAGACTAATGTAGTATTTAAGGCAAAAAGTGAGTTGATTCAAAGAGTATTAAGTAAACAAGAGTACAGGTGGCCCAGGGATGTGGCAGGAATCACAGTGGTGACATGAGAACAATTGGTTTCAGGCAACAGAGATGGGGGTCGGGGCTCTGTGGCAACCTCCGTGGCAGGTTCCGTGGCAGGCTCTGAGACAGCAGCGCTGCCCCTGCAGATTGGCATCCCCGCGCCCCCTGCGCAGCAGGATTCGCAGGGGTGTGGGGAGAGAGCAGCCAGCTGGGATCCATCAGGACTTACTGAAGGGGCTGCTTCCGCCTGCCTTTTCCCCGTCCTGTCCTCTCCTGTTCTTGTCCTGGCTGTCTGTGGCCCCTGGGCTGTGGCAGATGGTGTGGGGCTGCAGGTGCATGTCCAGGGTGGGGCATGGGCCACCAACAGGCTTTGCAGGGCCCCCTCCCCTGCCCCCTTCACGGCTGCATCTGTCTCTTTCCTCCGCAGGGGGAGGGGTTGCACCAACTACGCGAGGCTTTGAAGATTTTAGCTGAGAGGGTTTTAATCTTGGAAACAATGATTGGGCTCTATGGTGAGTAGAGACAGACAGACGGACAGACAGCCCGGCCCCCGCCCGCCAGCCTTCCCCAGGCCCTCCAGGGTGGAGCTGCCTGGGCCCAGACATGAGGCTGGAGAAGGTACCTGTCCCAGGCAGTGGGGACCTGGGAGGCCAAGACCACCCATCCCTCAGTGACTGGTCCCTACTCCACAGATGAAGGGGGACCGAGAAACCCCGGCCCCACCCCTGTGATCAGACTTGCGCCTCCGGGCATTGTGGGAAATGTGGTTTCCAGGCCTGCCGAGGAACCAGAGGTGACAGATTTCATGCTTGGAAGAAATTATTGGCAATGGAGCCAAACGCCAGAGCAGCAGGGAATTGTGGGTTACAGAGCCAGACTGCCACAGTGCAGGGGATCGTGGGTAATAAAGTCAGAGCCCAGGCCCACAGGAGGATTATGGGTAATGGATCCAGATTCCACTCAGGCTTCAGCTCTAGAGAAATCATGGGTAACAGAGCCAGTCTCCAGGCCCACAACAATAGGTCATGGAGTGGGGGACTGTGAGTGACAGAGCCAGGCTCAGGCCCCAGGGAACTCTGGGTAATACCCCACCCACCAGTTCTGACCTCTCCTCCCCCCTAAGTCCCCAGAGGCTCTCACAGGGCAGGCACTCCTGGCCCCAGGTGTCCCCCTTACAGTTTCATTTCCCATTCTGGGCCTCCTAACTTGCCCTGCGGGTCCCTTTAGTGGCCTGAGAGAGCCAGATCCTCACCCCAGGCCTTCACCTACCAATTCTCCACATCTGGTCACTTGAGGAACCAGGCAAGCCCTGTCCCCATGTAGAAGGGGAGCCCGAGGTCTTGACAGAGACCCACACCCAGGCTCCTGCCCTGAAGCTGGCTGGTGCCTGGCCCCTCCACCCACCCTCGGCTCCCGGGCCCAGCCCTCGGAGGCCGGACTCGCACCGTCTGCTCTTCTCGATCTCCCATCAGGCTCCTAGCTTACAGAGCTTCCTGCAGCAGCAGGCTCAGCTGGAGCTCCTGGCCAGACGGGTCACCTTGCTGGAAGCCATCATCTGGCCAGGTAACGGCAGGGTGGGCAGGCAGGGGCAGCCCCTTCCAGGAAGGGCCTGGGAAGGGCCTGGGGACACAGAAGGCGCCTCCCAATGCTGGACCCAGGCCAGCAGACACTCGTTCTTCAGTCCTTCCATCAACCAGCAGACAGTGCTTGGCATAGAGAAGGCTCTGGTAACTAGTTCTTGAGTGAATGAGCACGTGCTGTGTGCCAGGCACCTTGCTGGCAGAGGCTTCAACATATTAGACCGACATAGTCCTGCTCTCCTGGAGCTTAGGGTACAGGGAGGAGGGGAGCCCTGGAACTGGCCGTTAAACCCAGGGTGAGGAATACCACAGCAGAGTGAGTATAGGCAGCCAGGAGAACACAGAAGTGCCTCTGACCCAGGCTGGGGGGTGAGGAAGGGCAACTCAGGGAGGGCTTCCTGGAGGAGGTGTCGTCTAAGTGGAGACCTGAAGGGCAAGGATCGGGGTGAGTGAGCAGGCAGAGGAAAAGCATGGGCAAAAGCCAAGACACCAGAGAGAGCCTAGAAGGATTGTTCCATGAGTTTGCTGAGGGGTGAGAGCTGAGGCCAGAGGATTTGGCAGGGCCCAGTTTGAGAAGGTTCTTGAAGGCAGACTGGGGAGGCACAGGAGGAGGTTAGACACCAAGTGGGCAGTATCCATCCCTGTGCCTGTGTCCTCAAGGTGGGGCCAAGGAGGACTCCCCATTAAACTGGAGCCTGAGGCTGGCCCTGGAGAGCGGCAGGGATTGGCTGCCCTTGGGGTTGAGCCCCATCCCTCACTGACCTGCTAAGAGGCTTCACCAGCAGCCCTTCTCCCACTTCCAGCCTCCGCATCTCACAGCCCAATCCTAGTGCCTCAGTGCACACAGGCCTCATACATCAGGTCCAACCTGATGGGGACACGGAGGCCCCATCCAGGAAGGAGGACCAAGGTTAGAGTCAAGCCTCCTTCATTCAGCAAAATGATAGGGAGCACCTACTGAGTGCCAGGTCTGGGTGGGCACTGGGGCCCCAGAGAGCAGATCCCAAGGGTACCTGCCTTGGAGAGCTGCCCATCGAGTGGCAGGGAATCCTCTGTATCTGTAGAGATGAAGCCCATGGGGTACAGGAGCCCCAAGGATGTGGGTGCGGAGCTGGGAGGTTCAGAAGCCTTCCTGGAAGAGGGAACACTTGCACTGGGTCATGGAAGATCCTTACGAGTGTGCCAGAAGGAAGGAAGGGCAACCCTAACAGACAGTCCTGCATGGGCAAAGGCCTGGAGGTTGGAAGGGGGCTGTGTGTGTGTGTATGTGTGTGGTCTGCCTCCAAAGCTTCTCCCACCACGCCACCTGGCTTCTCTAACTTCCAGAAACATCAGTGACCATCTCCCAGACCTCCTTCCCTCTCACAGAGGAGAGACCAAGGACCAACTCCCAGGCTCTCAGCACCTTTTCAGGTGTCCTCCACCTCCTCTCAGGAGGATTGGGGCAGGAGCCAGAAGGAACACATTCAGGGCCCTGTGGCCTTGGATCTGTACCCTGCCCCGCTTCAGCCAACTGCCTCCGCAGCCCAGGAAGGAAGTGCTGGTCACCAGGGAAGGCCCACGCCCTCTCTCTCAGGTGGCCATGAACCTGGGAGAGTGGTCCCAAGAGCCTGCTTGGGGTGTGGGCCTGGAATGAAGATGCAGAGAAGATGGAAGCCTCCCATTGGCCCATAGTACACAGCAGGTGCTAACTAAAGCCCCAGATGGGGCTCATGTTTAGGTTATAATCAATAATGATAATAGTAACAGCTGTCACACATCTGGCCCACCCAGGGTGGGGGATTTACACTGATCACCTCTGGTCTTTTCAACAAGCTTGCTAGGTGGGCACCCATTTTACAGATGAAGAAACAGGTTCAGAGGGCTTACATACATGACTCCCTCAGGGTCAGAGGGATAGTGGCAGTAAGGCCAGGGGTCCACCCCAGGTCTGTCCTCTACAGCGCTGGCTCTTTTGGGTCCATCAACAAAGGTTCACTGACACTCTGCTTGGCCAGGCCCTGAATGGGGCCCGGGGAAAACCAAGGGTCCCGAATTTGGTCATGTCAGAACGGCGTCTCATGACCGACTCCCAGAGACCAGACTTGCAGGAGCCCTGGGTCAAAAGCACACCAGCCCAGTGACCATAGTAATCAGCACTCACTCTGAAAACCATGTTCCACTCCTGGTCTCCTTAAACACCGCAAGGCTGTGGCAACAGCAGTTCCAGGTGAGTCTCAGAGGTTCTGTGACTAGCCCAAGGCCACATAACTGGGACACGGGGTGCTGGGACTTGGTCCTAGCTGATGTTGGAGCCCAAGCTCTGTGCCACCCTCCTCCTATGCTCCCTGAGTTAGGGCATGAAATGTCCCTTGACTGTGACCGCACATGCCTGTCTGTCCCAGGGACCCCAAATCTCAGCCCAGAGGTGCATGGAGGCTGGGGCACACAGGGGCAGGGAGCTGGACAGTGATAATTATGAGGGTACAGCCCACTCCCCTGGCAGTGCCCTCAGTGGGAAGCCGGTACTTCCAAGTCCAAGTGTCTGTCCTGTGAACAGGGCTTTGGAGGCTCAGCCAAGTCCTCCATCCTGGGGCGTTCCTCCCTGAGCATCCCTCTCCCCCTTCTCACCTGCCTGACCTGCTCATTTAACTGTGAGAGGGACTGAGGTGATAGTCACAGAAGGCTTTCCAGAGGAGGGAGGTCCTGCTCTGAGTTTTGAAGGATGTGTAGGAGTTTTCCAGGTGGCCAGAATGCCAATTATTCAGTTTAACTCTTGAGGGTCAGCTTATTTCCAGGTTGGGGCATATCTCACCATAGCCAAATTAACAATGACTTAATAATTATTGGAGTTGGCTGGAACCTCAGAGTACATCTGGCACTGTCCCCTGGTTTTAGAGATGAGGCAACTGAGGCCCTGAAAGAAGTTTGACTTGCCCAAAGCCGCACAGTAGGTCAGTGGCAGAGCCTGGCCTGCCTAAACCCTTCCCCACTACAGGTGGCCTGACCTGAGGAGAGAGGAAGAGTGAGTCTGTTCCCTGGCCTTAGTTTACCCAGCTATGAAATGGGGATGATTGAGGGCATACCTTCACCCTAAAATGTGGAAAAGAAAAAAAGAGCTGTACTTTTTATGGAGCATTCATTATGTGCTGAGCATTTCAGAAGCATGGTCGTTCATTATCCCCACTTGACAGAAAATCAAACAGAGGCCCTGAGTGCTCTCATTGGGTTGGGGGCTAATAACTCCTGGGGGAGACACTAACCAGCTTGCAGACCCCCTTCTTTCCCACAGCTCTGCCTCCGGACGCCAGGGCAAAGTGCCCCTGGCAGAGTGCCCGTCTCCCCACCCCCCAGAGGGCCAAGGGGAGGTGGGTGCCTCACACAGACCTCACTAACCCGGCCTCTCTCCTTCCCTCCAGCAGAACCAGAGGGGTCGGGGGCAGGCCCTGCCGGCCTGGGCACCCCCACCCTCCTGCGGGGCAAGAGGGGAGGACACGTGGCCAGCTACCGGATCGTGGCCCCCAGGAGCCGCAACGAGAGAGGCTGAGGGCAGTGGCAGCCCCTCGGGGTGGGCCAGGCCAGGCTTCCCTTCCCAGGCAGGACTTGGCCAGCTGTCTCCTGAGACCACCCATCCATATTTATTAATGTCCTCAGGGTCCCTTCTGCCACCTAGCCCTTTGGGGTAGGCAGGTCTGTCTTGGCACCCCATGCATATCTGCCTCGGATGAGGCTGAGCAGGGACTGGGGCCTGAGAGGGAGGGGCTGCCCAAGTGAGAGGTGAGACCTTGCTCAGGGCTCTGGGCCTCAGTTTCCCTCTGTGAAGTGGGGTGATGCAGGCCTGCAGGGAGGGGAGTGGCAGGTTCGAGGCTTGTCTTCTCATCAGCCCCCTGGGCATCCAGGCCCCCAGGCACTGAGGGAGTCAGGAGTTGGGGCTCTGCTTGGCCCTCAGCACATGCAGGGATGAGGGAGGGCAGGCTTGTCACCCCCTCCTCCCCAGCCACACCTCGAGCAGCCCACCTGCGCCCCTCCTCTCCTTTTTTTGGTGCTGGGTGCCCAACCCTGAAGTCAAGCTACCTAATCTGACATGATATTCAGGGCTCCTTGCCTCAGTTCTGTCCCCTGAGCCCCCAGCCCCTCCCATGTCCCTGGTGGGGGGTGGAGGCATGGAGAGGGAGGGGCCACCTACTCCAACAAACCTTTGTTATGGACACCAGGAGGTAGATGTGTACCGGCCAATAAAGGCCCCCAGCCTGATTCCCCACCCGTCTGGTCTCAGTGTGTGCTTAGCTGGGGGGCAGCCAGGCAGGGCCAGGAGCCTCTTCCCTCTTCTCCGTGGCCTTCACTGCCCACTGCAAAGCAGGGCTGTGAGGCTACGGCTCATAGTGGGCCACGGCTCCCCTGGCCATCACCTGGGCAGCTGGGGCCTGGCGGTAGGTGAGCAGAGCAGAGGCTCAGGCCATCCCCACCCCCTGGCCAGGTGTCCAGCAATGGCTGCAGCTTCTGAGAGGCCAGGGGAGCAAGGAGCTGCCAGACCTCTGGGAAGCTTCTAGACTGGATGACCCACAGCTTTCCCTCTCTTGAACCTCAGTTTCCTCACCTGTAAAATGAGACTGATAACGTGGCCTTCAGGTTTCCAAGTCTGTTTCTGGCCCCTGGTTTAGTCTCTGTGGCCTTTCCACTCTGGCCCTGGCCTGGGTACAGTCCCTAGGGTGACCAGAGCATAGGCTGTTCCAGGATGTGCAGCTCCCTGCACCACCCCACCAAGTCCAGCTTCCTAAGCCCCCTCTACCTTACCCCTCCCCCCAGCCCATCAGCAAAACACTCCCAGGCCCCGCCCTCTGCCCTCTTGGCTCTGTCTACACCAGCCATCCCTGGGAAGGGGCAAGAATTGAGGGGACCAGGAGGGAGGAACTGCTGCTGCAAAGTTAAGGAAGCTTTTCCCCCCACCACCACCCACTGCTTCCTGCCCACGGGGCCCCGAAGTCACACAGCCACCAGCCACCAACTGATTCGGCCCCTGTCCAGCGGGGACACTGGGGGCCATGGGCAGTGAAGGGAAGCTATTCCTGGTGAATCAGGAATAGGCTGAGACCTGAGGATGGGCAGAAATTAGCTGGGAAATGAGCAGTGAAGAATGCTCCAGCCCAGCAAAAGCCCTGAGGTGGAAGACACAGCTTCCTCGAGGAGGCCGCACGTCTCTGGACCTCCGGGAGCTGCTCTGCTGCAACTGGCTGTTCGTCCACCGCTCAGTCATTCATTCATTCATCCCCCTAATGCCAACACAGAAGAGTCAGACAAGACTGCGGCCCCCAAGGAGGTCCAGGTTGAAAAGTGAACTGGTTTTTATTCTAAACAGTACGAGGGTGGGGAGCTGGAGGGGTCTCTCCTGCCCCCGGGGGTGCCCCTACGTCCCACTCTGACTCGGAGCACACAGGGCAGGGGCTGGGGCTACCTACCCACAGGCCAGGCCTCTAATCACCTGAGGGCCTGCCTGTGCTAGGGGGGCCCAGGGCCCTCGGGGTGGGCAGGCCTGCCCCTCCCCTCAGTCACCAGGGCCTCGGCGCCCACCTGCCCCCCGACCAGCAGTGACACGGCACCCTCCACGCGGCCTGTGGCTGCCAGTGCCACCACTGCCTGCTCTGTGGGGAAGCCCATGCGCTCCAGCTGCTGCAGCCTGTGGGATGGCAGGGGCAGGGAGGGAGTGTCAGGGCCACTTCCAGCCCCCACACCAGGGGACCCCACCCCTGCCCACCCTGCCTTACCGCAGAGAGGAAACGGAGGACTTGGCCAGCCATAGTGGGCTCTCAGGACCCTGGGCTGGCCCCTCAAGGAGCGAGGCCTGGATCCCCTCCTGTAACATCTGCTCATCCAGGGCCGCCCACAGCGGGGTCCCTGGGGGGAAGCTGGGCCCAGCCCAGGCCTGGCCCACCTCTGAGGAGCCTTCCCAGGTTGGCTGCACAGGCCCCAGGCCTGGCGGGAGTGTGGCTGAGCCTTCACTGCGGAACCAGAGGCTAGAGGAGGCCATGTAAGGAGGTCCGGGGCTGGGAGGCCTGGAGGAGCAGAAGCAGAAGAGGGCCTGACTGCCAGCCACTGCCACAGCTTCCACCACCAGGGCTGGTGTCCTTGGCATCACCCTCACCTCACTCCAGCAGGATGGGTGACAGGCAGCTCAGCCAGGCTGCCTGTCGGGGGAAGAAGCCTGAGTGGCCAGCACCCCGCCAGGGCCCGGCACAAGACGCCCTCCTGCAGCGCCTGCAGCCGCCGCTCAGAGAGCTCCAGCCACCGGAAAGCCCCAGCTGCATCTGTCTGCCCAGGGTAGGGCACTGGTCAAGGAAAACCAAAAGCAGCCAGGGGTGAGCCCACACTGCATGCCAGGCCCTGTGCCAGGTGTGTGATGGACATTCCCTCCTGTTTCCTCACTACGGCCGTGCAAGGGATGTGTCGTGACCCTAGTCCACAGTGGAGGCTCAGAAAGGAAAAGGGACCTGCCCGAAGCTACTCTGCCTGTAAGAGGTGGGGCCAGATATGCCTCACCCCAAAAGCTGTCTCATCCCGTTTCAGCCACCCCCTGCCCCGTTCTGTTCCCAGAGCCCTGTGGCGTGCTGAGGTCTGTGACTTGAGGCCAACTCTTGGGCCCAGTGACATATCCCCTATTGCCCTCAGCCAGGGAAAGATGCTGCCCATGCTCCAGGATTCAACCAGGCCTGGGCAGCCGGCATCCCCAGTCTTAAATGCCTACAGGGAGTCAGCCTGTGCCCACTGTTCTCTCCAACTGCAATGTTTTCCTTGTCAGGCACTAAGTATCTTTGGAGCAAGAGCCTGTGTTGAACACACCTGCACCACCAGCCAGAGGCGGCTCCCCCGTTCAGTGCCCAGACAGCCCCAGGCTCACTCTCACCCCTGGCCTTTGACCTTTCTGTGCCCTCTGCCTGGCCCACTCTCTCCTTTTCCACTTCTCTTCACCTGAACTCCTCATCCTGCACATCTCAGTGTAGATGCTGCCTCCACTGCGGAAGTCCAGGTTAGGTGCTTCTTTGGGCCACTTCGGCACCTCCACCCGGCCACGAGCCCCCAGTCCCCAGCCCAGAGCCTGGCTAGAGGAGGACTCGGAGATGCTCCCAGAATGTGTGTGCACAGGTTCCCAGCATTGTTGGGGCTACCTCCTTGTGCCACTTCCTTTCCAGGCACCCTGGGGGCCCAGCCACAGAACCCACATGTCCGCATGGGCCCTCGGCCCAGGCAAAAGATACAGGCCAGGCCAGCAAGGAGGCCGCAGAAGAGCTGTAGGAAGGGTGGCTCGGAGCTGAGCAGCGGCGTCAGGGCAAGCAGCAGCCATGGCAGCAGCCACGGTGGCAGTGCCCCATGGGGCCGTCTAGGGTGACAACCCTGCCCCGCCAGCATAGCCAAGTGGACAGGCATGTATCCGCAGCCACCGGCTGCACTGGACACCCCGAGGCCTGCCAGCAGCACGGCCATTAGCCCGGTGGCCAGGGCGAGCAGGGCAGAGGCATGCAGGAACCGCAGTGTGCCCATGTGGCACTCCTGCTGCCAGCCCAGTGTAGGCAGGAGCAGCAGGCTCAGGAGCAGGCCGGGTAGGGCCGTGTGGCCCAGGGCATGGGTCAGCAGCCGGTGCACTGGGGGAGAGAAGGGGTTTATGTGCCAGGTTAGTGGCCCTAACCCCTAAGGCTGTCCCAGGTGTTCCAGGTTGGAAATTACGCTGCCAGGGCCACCTGCTAAGCCAGCCTCCCCTCTCCAGGAGTCAAAGTCTGCCCATTGCCAGCACTTTAATCACGCATGCAGGGGACCAGGACCAAGGACCTTCAAACACTGTGACTGCTCCCCTGCTGTATTAAACAGAACAAGCCGGACCCACCACTCAGTCTTCTCAAAAGCAACCAACTGTGCATGAGTCACTTAACCTCTGTGAGCATTAGCTGGGTTCCTCAAATGTAAATGGAAGCTGCTGTTATTACTGGGAAACAGGCACTCAGCTGGGGTCACTCCTCGAACCCCCAGCACCTCCTCCCCACTCTCATGCTTAGCTGAAAGCCTTAGTTCTTATTTCCAGCAAAGGTCATCAAAAAGGGAAGTCATCTGAAAAGAATTCCTACTCACAGGCTCCCACCCCTCTGCTGGCCCCTCTGCTTTCCCTTCTTGGCTGTGAATGAGCTGGGCATGCTCCCGTCCAAGGCTGACCTTCCCCAGGGCACACTACTCCTGCCAACTGGTCTCAGGCCCTACAGCAAGTCTCCTGCCTCCTCCAAGGCCCATGTGGCCAGCCCTCACCTTGCCAAGGGTCCAGCAGCAGCTCTGGGGCTAGGGCAAGGCTGGGGCCAGCCCCCATCAGCCACAAGCTGCTCATGAGCAGCATCAGGACCGAGGAGGCGAGAGGCAGCGCTGGTGACAGTAGGCCATGGGGGCCTCTGGCAGGCATAGCTGGGCTGAAGGTGGTCAAGGGTGGTCTTCGGGGTGTGTGCTAGAGGTAAAGGAAAACAATAACAGTTATTTCTGCAGCTTTTCTTTGATTTCCTTTCAACCACCCTACCAGCGGCTCCATTTTACAGAAGTAGAAACTAAGGCTGGAGAGGCAGGCCCAGCAACTTGGCCATGGAGGAGCTCGGATCCTAACCACGTTCCTAGCCATTTTGCCATCCCATCTGCCTATGTGTGAAGACGGGGAGGGGCCAGGCCAAAAGGGCCCTGAGCCCTGATGGGCCCTGAGCCCTGATGCGCCCTAAGGAGGAGTCTGGGGTGGGAGGCACAGGGCCAGGGAAGTTTAACGGGGGCCCTGGACTCCCAAAAAGAGGGGTGGAGCCCCCCATGGCAAACTCAGGGCCATCTCCAGCTTTCCTCTGCTTCCCTCTTCCCTCTGGTTGTGGACCAGCCACCTTCCTCCCTCCTCCCCTCCACCGGGCTCAGCCTTAGGGCTCCAGATGGCCTCAGCTGCACTTAAGGGAGGAGGTGAGGCCAGCCAATGGGCAGGCAGATTAGGGAGGAGGCGGGGCAGACTGGGTGGAGGAGGGGCAACAGGAGTCCCTCACCCTGAGCGCATACAAAATGACACCGGACTGACACATCCCCTTCGTGAGTCCTGAGCACAGCCCCTCCAGCCCTAGCCCCTCTTCTCACAGGAAGGTTTTAGTATCCACTCCACTTTTTCCTGCTGTGCATCCCTGGGCAAGTTTTCCAGCCTCTGAGCCTCTCCTTCCTCATCTGTAAAATGGGGATTAAGAAAATCCTTTCCTTATAGGATGAGAAAAAGGAATGGGATAATGCAGGGCGGGGCCCACAGACCCTGCTCAATGAACTGCAGCCATCCACCTAATTGTGGGAGGCAGATATAGCCAGCAGCTGGCCCACCAAGAGGAGGCCTCAACATAGAGGCAACTGCTCCTGCCTAGCTGTTTCAAGCTCTGGCCCTCAAACATGCCAATTCCCTGCCCACAAGGCAAAGGTTTTTCTTCCTTGTTCTCTTCCCTCACATCTAGCCTGTCCTCCAGGCCCTGCTGGAACCCCCCTCACCCCTGGCCAGGCCTGCCTCAGGACTCCCACGGAGCTGATTTCATAGGGCAGGAAGCAAAATCCCACAGAGACCCAAAGGCTACCTCACCTGCTCCCTTGCTTAAGGGCATCCTCAGCATCAAAACCCACCTGCCAGTTTCCTGCAGGAAAAATGCAGAAAGCTCCTCTGCCTGCAATGTCCTTCCCTCCATCTCGCCAATAGGCAAACTCCTATTCACGCTTTGAAGCCCAGCTCAAATGTCCCCTTCCCCTCCTCTGGCCCCCCACATCATGGATCTTAGCCTATCTAATGAGCACAGCTTGGCCTTTCTCCTTAGACAGGTGGTCTGAGCTGGGGAAAAGGGGTGCTCTTACTCATCCCCCAGTTCCCCAGGGTGCTCCCAGCACATAGCTGGTGCTCTATATGTGTTGACTGAAATAAAGCCACTAGCTTTGCTCCAGGTCCCACTGAGGGGTTTGGGTGAGCTCTGCACTTCACTGGGCCTGGGAACCTGCCTGGGGAGACTGGGTTGAGTCCAGGAAGGCAGACAGGTGCCAGCCTCGTCCGGAGCCATGGCACCCACTGCCAGCCTCCTTTTGCACCCTCACAACCATCCCTCCCTGGGTACCTCAGCAAGAGTTAAGGACTTGCCCATAGACTAACAGAACTGGGACTTGAATCCTCCGGGCCTCAGTCTCTTCATCTATAAAATGGGGCTGTGCACCATCAGGCCCTGCCTACCTTACTGAGAAGCCAGGAGGACAGAATGGGAAGATAAAGACGGGGAAGAGTCTTCCGGGTGATGAAGAGAATGGGGGTCCCAAGGTGTAGGTCAGACTCAGCTTTGTGACTTTAGGAAAAGTACCCAAATTCCCTGGACCTCAGTTTCCCCTTCTGTAAAAACAAGAGTTTTGGATGGGGGATATTAAAGGGCCTTCTCAACCTCGACCGTTACCGGGGAGGGGGGGCGGCTCTCGGGCCCGGCACCACATTCGGGGCCTCCCATCCAGCCCACCGGCCTCAGCCCCCTCCCCCGCCGGCCTGGGCCACGTGTCGGAGTTACTCACTGCGGAGCGCGCCCCCCGCCCCCGGAAGCCCGGGGGGGGCTCCCGCCTGGGAGTCGGGACTCTAACTTCCCGCCACGGCGCGAGCGCCCCGAGCCCATTTTGTTCGCACTCGAGCGCGTGACCTCTGCCGACCGGCCGGCGCACCACCCCCTCCGCCGCCGCCCGCCGATTAGTCAGCAGTTGTTCTAGGCCCGGGTCCCTTCCCCCAGCCCTCCCGCCGGCCTCCGTTTCCCTCCAAGGCAGACTCTTCAGAGACGGTCCCTAGAGCCAGCGGACGTAACCATTCCATACGACTTAGCCTCGTGCGGAGAATCACTCCGGCTTGATACCAAGACACGCTCACCGGCCGCTCCGGCCCCTTTGGTGCTATTTTGGCCCGCGCGTCACGTCCGGCGCTCTTTAGAGAGGAATAGCGCAAGAGTTGCGGGCGGGAAGGACCAGAAAGCGTGGTTCATCCCTTCTTCCCCCACCCCCGTGGCCTGGCCCCATGGTAGCGCCCGAGGTTGCGGGTTTCGCGCCTGCGCAGTGCGGCGCCTAAAGGGAAAGCGAGAGGGAGACGGACGTTGAGAGAACGAGAAGGAAGGAGAGAAAATGGCGTCCACGGGTGAGTGTGGTGGAGCTGCGGTCGCGCCGGCGACGGCTGGGTCGCCCAAATCGGGGGCCGCTCGTCTCCGGGGGTGGCCGGGGCAACTAAGTGGACTTGCTGAGAAGCGTGTGAGGTACCCGCCGCGGCCCGACGAGCTCGAGGGCCCGCGTTCCCCTCCCCTCCCCCCACCGAGCAGGCCGGTTCTGGAACCTTCTGGCGCCCCCGGCGCGCGGGGGGCTCGCGGTGGTCTCTATTGTGTGGCGGCCGTCGGGTCCCGCGCTCCGGGCTGCCCGCCACGTGGGCGGGGCCTGCGGCCTCCCGGGCCCCGCGTGGGGGGAGAGGCTCGGCCAAGCCTGGAGCCTGGCGCCCCGAAACCGGAGGCGGGGGGCCAACGGCGGCTCTGGGGCTGCCACTCTGACCCTCCCTACCCCCATTTCCAGGGAGGCGGCTCGAGCTGGAAGGCGAGTCTGCCTCAGTGAGAAGCACGAGTGGGGGGAAGCATATCAACAGAAAAGGCATCGCGGGTCCGTGGGCCGAGGGGCGCCGACCGATGAGCGGGAGCCCCGTCATTCTGATGGCCGGGTCGGCTGGGGCGTACGGTGCCGCCGAGCTGCCCCTTCGGCGGGTTCTAGCCCCGAGCCGAACTTTTCTGCCCGCATGGGCTTTAGAGGGAATGTGCTCCCCCTTTAGAGCTTCCCCATCGGCTGCCCCCTGGGCTTCTCCGTTTTTATAATTATTAATCCCACCTCTTCCCTCCCCCGAAAGTAATTAAGTAGCCTCCTAGGATCATTTTTCAGTAGACGCTGAGGGAGATCTGTTGTATAAGGTCAGCCCGAATCGCGAGGCCAGAAATCCCTCCCAAAAGAAATTTCTGGTGTCTTTGACCTAGGAGAAACAAAAGGCCCGAGTCGGCGTTTGAGTTGTGCTCGAGCAATCGTCTCGCACGTTTATTCTCGTATGTTAAGCCGACAGGCTTGTTTATTTCGTGGACTGATAGAAAAGAGGGAAAGGAGGCACACAGTGGGCTTGGAAAGAAAGCTCGGGGTGGGAGCTCGGACGTGATGTCTAGGGTGGTTCTTGCTGCACAGAGCGTTTGAGAGTGTAGCCTCCACATCACCTGCGGTTTGTTCTAGGGCTAAGCTGTGGTTATTGGTAGGATGGGGCATTATTGCCTCCGGGGGAGTTCTTAGACGGCCTAATTCCAGGCCCTAGAGGCAGTGGGAGAAGACGAGATAAGACAGGAGAAGCTCTGGGTCCTTCACAGTTTTAATTCGAAAAGGTTCAAGACTCCAGGAACTTAGGGACAGTTTAAGAACTCTTCCCGAACTGTGTGGTCAGTAAACAGGCAAGTAAATGCTGACTGTTAGTGCCAGGGTACAGAGTGCCCCTAGAAGAGAGGACTCTGGAATACCACAGTCCAATACACATCCTGGTGGGAAGTGGTTTCCATAGAGGCCTTTCCACCTTCCTCTTCCCTGCAGTGTTTGAATTATGTAAGGGGGAGTCAGAATGTGTATGTTGAAATTTTTGTGTGGCTGGACGTGCCAATTTTTTGGTCTATTTTGCTCAAACTCTTTACTGGTAACCACCAGGTACTGTGTTAGAATTACTGTTGTGGTTTATGTAGACACCCAGCAGTAGGCCTGGCTGGGGAACCTTTGGCGAGTCCCGCAATTTATCTGGACTTTGGTTTCCTTTCCTTTGAAATGGAGGAGTTAGGCTAGATGTTTTAAGAGCTTTTTAAGCCCTTAATTTCTGTCTTTACAGCAAAGCATTTGGGCTCCCACAAACTTCCCCCATACTGACTTTAGCTTATTATGTGGTATGAAGCTCTAAATCTGTGCAGTTTGCATACTGACTGCCCTAAAGTATCTAAAAGCCACTACCTTGGATAATGCTCCATGTTTTTCCTACTTATGTATATCATATATAGAGAAGTACCTAAAGTGTATGTCTGGTTTAACAGAGAATTACAGTGCAAACTCCCAAGTAACCACCTTTCAGACCCGGAAATAGGACACTGCCAGCACTCTAGAGGCCCCCCTGGATCACAGCCCCTCTCTCCTCAACCTGGCCTGTTATTTTTAGTGAAATCTTCAGCTGCAAGTTTGGAGGTTAAAAGCAAAACATAACTGATGGCTAAATAATCTGACCAGTGTGTAACTGGAACGTTTTTAAGGCGGTATAATAGTGTTTATGTGCAGTAGGTTGATAATATAAGTTCTCATGAAACAAATTTGCTACCTCACTTAGCCGAACAATGTGGGGCTAAATCTGCTGGTTTCACACGCACATCGGAGATCATTCGCTGTTCCACATCAGCTTTGCCAACTTTATGTTTTACATAACTATTCTTGTGTAAAAGTCCTCTTGCAAACATTGAACTTACATGTCAGTGATTTAGAATCATTTCTCACATAGAAACCTCAGCAAAATGTAGGTTGAAATATTTGATTTTTGATGCTTCACTGTTGTGTTTGTGAATACCACATGGAAGAAGTGATTTGCATTTACTTTTTATATGCCACAGAGAGCATAACTTGTAGTGCTATTGAAAATGCCTTAAGTTTTAACCTTAAAATGTCTTAGGGTCATCTTGGAAAAATCAGTTTGTTCATTATACATAGCCTTTGGGCATTTGATTTGATCATGTTAATGATTCAGGGTTCTGAGTTAAAGATGTGTACAGAGGAAGGAAAGTAGTCAAGTGAGGTGTAGAGAGGTAGAAAGATGAGCCAACTTGAAAAGATGGATTCAGGAAAATGCTCTGAGGCCAGGTGGACTGTGAGGCAGGATGGAGTTGAGGTAGAAACTCCACCATGAAGAGCTGAGATGTCAACTGTTGCTTTCAGATGAGGGACTACTTTCTGGTTGGAAAAGAAAGGAGACTTTTGTTCAGCCCTATTGGCAGTACTGTTTTCTAACATAGAATAAGATATGTATTGCTTGTGGAGAGCAAAGAATTAGGTAGAATTTTTTAAAATAATTATTTTAACTCCTTTAAATGTAAGCTTAATTCAGTAGTGCTGTGAAAACTTCCTAACCATTTTATTTTCTGTCTGTTTTCACTACTCTTAGACACCTCACCGGACCACAGTTTTTAGTCCCTTTCTGTGCATGTTGTAAATTTCATATGAAAAGGAAAATTATAGGAAGGTATACTTAGAGAAGAGAGGGAAAGAAAATTTGTGATTTTTTTTTTTTTTAAGTTGAAATCACTTTGAGTTTTAAGAAGATGGTGTTACCTAAAACCAGTTTATTCCCAAAAAGATTAAATGCTTTCTCCTCTGCGGATTATCACAATTCTACGTTAACTCTGCTTCACTGGGATTTATAATGTGTCTAGCTTCTGAGTTGTGCAGATGTAGCCCTGATATGGTCAGCAAACTCTTTAAAACACTGGGTTGAGATGCCTGTCCTCATGTTTTCTGCCCTTCCATCTCACAGTCCTGTTAGGGAATTATAGTTGGTCTAACTTGCTAAAGTGAAGGAGTGATAGAAAAATTAGTTTTTAAGGAGGTGTAGCTACCAGTCTGATGTAACCAGTCTGATGTTCGACTTTGTAATATTAATATTGTTGCATGCCTCCTTTTTATATGAGGGTAAAACTTCTGATCCTGTTGGTTGTTGTTCTTTGTTAGTCTCAGGGTGATGATCATGTATTTGAAATGACAGCCTGTGGTTAAGGGGGGTTGTGGTCATGGGAACATGCAAAGTATCTCTGCCAAATCAGCTGATCTTGACCTCATTAGCTGGCACTATATTCAAACTTTCTGAGTTTAACTGGCTTAGACTTATTTTTTAGTTTGGTGTTGAGAGATGAGAGGTACTCAGTTCAACCTTTGTTGGCCTGTAGGTCCCCCTCTAAATGGTTTAAAGAATTCATCTTCCTGTCATCTGAATTCCTTCCCCCTTTTTTCCCTTGTCCTTGTCTCTGCTGACTTCACACTATTTTCTCTCCTTCTCTAGATTACAGTACCTATAGCCAAGCTGCAGCCCAGCAGGGGTAAGTCAGTCTTTTATTTACAACAGTGTTTTGGATGTGATTGATTAATGTTTTTAGAGTACGGAGCTTCCTATGGTTGTAGAGGATTTAGTAATGGAATCTGAATATTCTATATTCATTTCTTGCATTTAATTTCTCTTACAGCTACAGTGCTTACACCGCCCAGCCCACTCAAGGATATGCACAGACCACCCAGGTAATCTTTAAAATAATTATATGTGGCTGCATCCCCAAGTAAAATACTTCTCTCAGCCATTAAAACAATAGCTAGCATAGATCTTTTTCAAAAATTAGGTAATAGAAATGTGTGATGTGCTTGTAATCATAAAATACCCAGACATTTAGAACTTTCACAGTGGGAGTGCCATTGTAAATGAGACCATCCCCAAACTAGGAATTACTCGCTCCCCATACCTTTCTAGTGTCATTTCTCAAGTTAGGTGCTCTGCTCCTTGCTTGGTTCTTCTACATATTTTATTATGTTTAAATTTATTTAAGTTAATCATACAGCAATTCTGCAAAGGAAAGTGATATTATGACATTTTGCAGATGAAAAAGTTGTAGTGCACAGATATTACGTCATTTGCCAGTGGTCGCACAGTAAGTGGTGGGGTTATCTCTTATGGCTGCCCTAGCTATGGAGCTTC